CTTATCAGTTTTTGAATACATTCAGGAGAAAAATTAATGAAGCTAAGAGAAGCATCAGACAACGAAGGAATTAAAGGGATCGGATCAGTTTCAATGGTGAAATGCTTGGCAAAGAACGAATTTAAAATTTCTGCTTTGCCTGACTCCTCTGTAATGAAGGCATCACTTGCACTAAGCAAGGGCGGAATGACTTGGTGGGACTTAGCAGATGATCTCTGACGGAAGATCTGAGCAACTGATTTAGAAGAATTCACGTCATTAATAGCTAAAGACTCTCTACGCCTATCTCGCTCGAGCCTCATTTTCGAAGCTAGTTCAAATATTTCAACGATTCTTAGATGAACTGATAATGAACTCACAGAAGGATCTTTAAACTGCTTCCGTAACTTTTTAAGTCTGTTTTTACGAAAGTGTGGGATAGCGGTGGAATTAGCACTCGGTTTGAGCATCTTCCGAGGAATAAGGTCAAGAAGACCTTCTGTTACGCATTGTAATAAATTGTTGAAAAAATTTAGATCATTATTTGAAAAAATATTGTGCCAATCAAGAGTGCATGTAAAGTTATTTACTAAATCCTTATTAACATTAGCAAAGTCAAAAATACTACGTTGAACTGTTGGCTTTGCGGAAATGGCAACTGCAAGGCGACAATGAATTAATGCATGATCACTTGCAAAGAGGTCATGATAAAAATCCATAGATAAAGGGAAGGTGCCATTAGTAAAAATTAAGTGTAAAACACTATCGTTTCTGGTCGGAGAGTGAACTAATTGAGTCAGGTTTGAAAAGTAAATTGTGTCAAGCAGGTTCTGGAATTTAGGAGGAGAAGTATGTGTGTGCCAGTCAATGTCTGGCAAATTAAAATCGCCTACGATTATCTTGAATGCTGTTGCTTCAGACAGATGATTTGGGAGCGACCGATGAGGAAACTCTCGACCCATTAAAGATGTTCGTCTCAGATACGCATGACTCTCAATTCGCACTGGAAACGTTGGGGCGGAACATTGTTGAACGCCTTCCGAAAATCATTATAGGCCAAATTCATAGTGTGTTTTACGTCGAGTGTGCCTGTCCAACGTTGCTTTGCGTACTGAAATTTCGTTACACACGATTTTCTCCCACGAAAGTCGTATTGTGCTTTGGGCAGGAGGCTGTGGTTTTCTAAATAATTTATCATCTCTTTTATGATGATCTTCTTCGTGACTTCGGAGCGGGTTGGTGTCAGACTGGCGGATCTGTGGTTCGTCAAGTGGTTCGACTTCAGGTGCCAAAAACTTTCTCTTTTCGATTTGGGTTTTCGCTCTACCAGCAGTACAGATCGCTGAAAACTCTTCTTCTAGACCAATGTATAAAGTTGACGTTGAAACTTATAGTGAATTAAACTGATGGCGCATGCTAAACAAAGTGCTATCGACCAATTAGAGCGAAGCTGACCTCACCGAAGTGTTTTCGTGGTTCTCCTGCGTGATTCCGTGTTGCACTTGCGACGGGCTATTTTGCTTACGCTTCCAATGTGAACGATTAAGCCCTTCTCAAAATGGTTTCGAGGCAACTACTTCGACCGGTTATCACTGACGTGATTTACAAGGACATGCATTTTATCATAATGGACTCTCCAACGAAAGACACAGCAGAGAATTTCGCGCAGGTAACACTTATGATGTTTCTATAACTCTACAGGAGTGTGCTAATTTGCATGTTTCGGACTTGATCAGAGTTTGCGAGGATAAATACCCCACGGTGGCCTTTGAAAAACGGGGAATTTCCGTTCATGTAGGTTTCACAAATTGGTTTCGGCATCCTTTTTAAATTTGTAATTATTTGTTGTCATTTTAAAATGAAGCAGGTGCATTTGCAATGATTTCACTAAGCATAAATAGTGTCGTCGGTGTGTTTCTTCTCGACGACACAGTCGAAATTAATTAATCTAATCTTGGTTCCGCCTTGAATTATTTTGAAAGAATACCGCCCCAGAGCCTAATAAGAGCAATCGAGGTCTGCCCATTCCAAAATAATTATCGAACGCCTGTTTCTCCATTTAATGCCTTCGTGCTGTTTTGGATGTTACCATGCATAATTTACTAGTAATGGTTACTTGAGCTCAAGTCACCATCTCCACCCCTAGTAGCAAACTATATCGAATAGATATCTATTAGATATCTATTTATCGAGATTCATATATCGACTGGATATCTATTTTGTCGCAGAAATAGATACCTATTAGATATTGATTAATCGAGATACTACGCTATCGGCGAAAAGGGCGGGTAATTTGCTACGCGTAAATCGTTTGCTTAACCCAATGCCCTTTTCTGCCCCCCATCCATTCCTTGTCGTATGTTGATTCCCCCCGATTTACCCAGAGATACATTGGAAACGGTTATAGTGGAATATGTTTATTTAAAAAATTAAATTAACATGTACAAAGGTTTGCTGAACCCCTTCTGTATTCACACTGTTCACGCAGGCGGTGAATCAGTCGAAGATCCGGGGATATTGTCTACAAGTTAAAATTAGTTACTGATAAACGGCAGTCAATTTACCACTGTCATCTTGCGTCATTTGTGACTTGTTCTTACGCTGGACACAACTGTCGAGCGACCTTTTCAGGCGCCTGGTAAGTGCCGACTCAAGGTGAGACAGCTTTACGCTGACATCAGTATTCCATGCGCCGAAGACTTCTGCATGTTGTACAGTTGTAAGTAACGGCAGACTTACCGAGTATAACCACATACAGTTTCGAACCGCTGAGGCTGTGTTTAGTGTTTCGTCCTTTGAAATTAACATATAGGCTTATTTCATGTACAGGTACCTGCACATGTCCTGTTAACTTAAGTATTTTTCTCAACTTGTTGAACCATCAGTGCCTGATTGTGGGGCAGGCGCTTTGTGCAACGCGTCCTAGTATATGCCAGCTTTTAGTAACTGGTCGATTATGAGCACCCCAGAGATCTTTAGTGTGAACTCAGTATTCGTATTCACCCAAAATGGCCAGCCAACTGGACTCGATGAGCATCACCATTGTCTAGTCAGAACTTTAACTTGCGCGCGATGTCAGCTATGGTTGGGGAGGTCTCCGTGTATTGATTTACATCCGCACTGACACACCTACCGTGCCTGAATTGGAAAACTAAGAGGACTGGGGACAACTTCGGAGACAATGGCTGATTAGTCATTCATCTCTGTTTATTGCATTTTGCATGCGTACCGGTCCTTCTAATGATAATAGCTACATCGCGTCCAGACTGAGAGTGAATATAGGTACAAATCAACACATTTTTTCTCTCACTAGGACCGAGTTATGCTGCCCGTTGGCACCCCTCCTAGCCGCGGCTCTTAACACCCATGATGTTTCGTCTGCGTGTTGAGTTTGTTATAACGGTGGTAGGTGGTTAAGGGTTGACTTCATTTTGAACATTTTACCAGTATCATGATTTAATCAAGGCGACTCGAGGTGAGGTTGGGGGCAGTGACTGACTGACCATTTCGCCCAGTCTCTTCCGTGTCGCACGTGGTGGTTTTTCGAGTTCTCGCGTATGTCATCCGAGCGTTTTTCTTACTCGAGCTTTGAAATCATATACAAATCCTGTCCTTATTTGCATTATCTGTTCCTTTCAGTCGGCCAACTTGCGTTTGCGTATAGTCTTTCTACCCAGCAGACTGTTAGACCTTAACATGATCTTACGTGATTTTGCGGGTGTTCTCTAGGTCTCTTACTTATCCTTTTCTGCTCTTCTTCCATTTGGCGAAACGGGTTGTTGTAAATCGCATTTGTACTACACTGGTGACGTAGCCTATGTCCCGTAACGCATGCTGTTGACAACGTTTTACGTGTACAGTGTTCGTTCTTTGCGGGGGATGAACTAACACATTGATCTGCTGATACGCAAAGGTTTTGCTCTGTTCCAAGTCTTAGTGACAGATGTAGGGTTTTTGGTACTTGTTTCTCGGACTTAGCCGAATACCTTGAGTTTGGACGAACACATTCCATGGGTTTTACAGATATTTTATGAAAAGCCAAAGCGATCTCTTTATTAGAACACACCAAAGCCATAATATTCGTACAACCTTGCGGTCATAGTACTTTCCGTCATCTCCAAACTAAGAGGAAAACGTTTAATCCTTAGGCCACAAGTGTAGATTGTTTGATTTCATAGCCGCCACTTGCATTCCGTACTAGATTTTGCCGTTCCACATAAGTAATCTCTGAAAAATTCCGACAGACACATTCTACGAAGTGTTTTGCTAACTCCCCATACGTGCGGTTTTATCCCAGGAAGAAATCGCCAGGGCTGCACTGAACTTACTCAGAAACCAGACTGCGGAAAAGGGCGTTGTCTGTGATGAGGCACCTTGGTATCCTCATTACATATGGTGGCTGATCAATCGTAGAGAAACTGGGTTATACCTAGTGATTTCGGCCGGGTTACCTTTGTATATTTGAAGTATACAGACCACGACAACTACTGTAATACAAGTCTAAGTGGTATTTCCATCAGCGTTTTCCGACGTTTTTACGGTGTCCGTGCTGCAGGAACCAGACCCACTCAAGCTGAGGCCAGGACTAAAAGCGGATCTATTGACCAGCTGTCCTGCTCATAGCACATTCTTAATATTCCACAGGTTGTCGGCGGCCCGTATTTGCCCGCTTTGGCATCACTACAGCTTTCGGTCCCGTTCATCGTGAGCCTATATACCGGAGAATTGTACGGTTTGCTAACATAAGCCATCGCTGTAATCAAGGCCTACTATTTCTTCATCATTATCCAGAACCGCATACTGGTCGATATTTGGTCAACCGTTCGTCTGGATACCTCTTGTCGACCTCCATAACTAGCCACATCATTAGTTTTTGAGGTCGCTCTGTCCCATGTTGCGGATGTTAACTTGGCACTAGAATACCGACTGACTGCGTTGACCATGATGTTGATGTTGCCCTTCCTCTCGTATACTTTTATTGGCTTAGGTGATTTAACTGACAAGACCACCCTGTGGCTCACTTAATAGAGCACTGGACTTTATAATGTTCGATGACTCTAGAATTCGGGATCGAGGCTCAAGTGTTGAAATCTGAGTTCGGGCAGTGCTGACTATCGACAGCTAATAAGGCGCAAAGCACCATCCCAGTCTCTCTTGCCTTTGTCGGCAATCGCCTCCGACTCACGTATCCTCGACTTAAACGAACAGGGCCATTCTTTTCCTGCAGTTTCCGAGATCTCCGGCAACACTTGCCCAGCAAGTGTTCGCTTTTGCACTCAACATCTTCTTCAAGTTTTTCTAGTTTGTCTTAACGGTGGTGGTACCGATAAAGCCACCTGTTCTGAGACCTAAAGTTTTGGGCGAACTCCCTTTTGGATTTTTGTATAACTGAACTATTCCAGACGGTAAATCACCATCAGTTATTACCAATAGGCGGAGTTGCGGCCCTGATAGCGTCGGACCTTGATGCCCTATAGAAAATTGTCATGTGTCAGCGAAGTCGCCAAATCAAGGGATTTATCAGCCAATGCTGCACAGACGAGTGTATTATCGAACTCAGTCGTTGCCTAAGGAAGGATACCCTTATAGATAATCGAGGTAGACAGTTCCAGCTATTTAGAGATCAAGTTGCCAACCGTTATAAGTGGTAGGATGTTTTCGTTCAGATGGACGCTGTCTAGTGGGTTTTAGCAAACTTTCAAAGAAATCTAGCGATCCGCCAGGATATCACAATTGCACGAACAGTTTCACATAGTAGACGACCATCTGGCCATTGCGACATATTTGTGAAAGCTAAGTTCTACGGGTAGGATACCATAAATTTGGCAATTCTCGACCACTGGCGTCCGTGAAAGATTCATTGTGTGAAGTGCACAGACTTTGTTCCCAGAGGAGACAGTCAGTAATGTTCGTGCCGAATTAATAATCATATTACAGACTCTAAGATGCCTGGTGTGTTTGGATATGCTCTTCGACACTCGTCCAATAAATTGAATGCTACTGTCCTAAATGCGACGCTATCGTCACACTGGAAGTGCTGAAGAGGATGTCAGCTTAAAGTATATCTCAGCTCGTCGTGAATACATGGCATTCGGTGCTCACTGGTAGAAAAGACTGTGGGCTGTGCTAAGTGGGCACTTATTCAATTGTCGGGCAACCATTGATGAACTGTTGAGTCGTACTCTATCAGGGATGCCCGCAAACATGGCGAATACAAGTGTAGTAGCCGAAATTCTTTTATTCCGGCGTGGCTTTTGCTTCTGGCTTAATGTTTTTTTGTAGTTTCTGAGGCCATGTGGATTATGGACTACGCAAACCGACCTTTAATATTTTGAGGTGCGTCAGACCACTGACGATTATGCAAATTAGGATAACAGATGTTTAAAACCCTTCTCTCTTGCTTGTTTACTAGCACTGGGAGTTCGATGACGGTTCACCTCCGCCGGAGTCGGTCTTGGATCAGTGGTTTGATCTTCTGCGGCTGCGATTCTACAACGGTAGCACTAACAACCATCACAGGGACCATCCTGTGACCGACGGAGATAAGCGTAGCGCTGTTCCTTGTCCTGTGGCCGTTCATTGCCTCGCAGGTTATGGCAGGTAAGACTAGATATTAGCCAGCGACCGACGCGACCTTTGTTGAAGTTAATTAAACTTGGAGAGAAAATGTTAAAGGGCAAATCCATCGGTGCATTTTTTCTCATCTTAACACTAGATGAAGACCTCAGATCCGACAAACTCAAAAGTTTTATTTTGGTCTTTCGGATCTAGTTCATCAGCATTTGTTCTTCTTCAGGGCGAAATAGTTAGAGTTTCACGAATATTAGGCAACAACCTCGTCATTATCCCAGTGTTTGCTTTATGCGGAAACGAGTCGAAGTGTCCTCCTGTGTTTATTACGGAAGTTCAACAGAATTGAATCTTGCCTGAGTACGGTCATTGGCTATTTGGCACTTGCGGTTTTGCCTCTCTTCTATTGGCATGACTAGTCATCTTATGGTTGCAGTAGCTAATCTGGTCTTCAAAGGCCGTCTATTTGTGTTTATCTATTTATCGTACACCTGTTTCATCTATATCATTTACAGAGCTCCCGTTCTCGTAACAGTCGCCTTACTCGAATTGGGGATGGCCAATCAGGATGCAATCGAATTAATTCGGAGGTACGTACCATATTCTGGTAGTTAGTTGATTGTACACTTATTTGCGGTCGTATGTTGATTTTAAGATAAGTAACTGTACAGTGTAGCTGGTATAGCTCCAGAGAGCTCTATAGATGCCAGCCCTATCCAATCCTCCTGGTTGTGGCCATTGACTTTGTTGATGTTTCGGTCAATTTGCAAGTGCAAGGAGTAAGACGCAAGATCCTCGTGGACTTTTCAGTGACATTAATTATTGGCACTACGACACTGAGTTGTGCTCTCAAGTCTAGATAGAGTGACACAGCAGATGGCACATTGTACCCCTTTTAATCACCCAATGCAAATTTCGACCGTCAGTTTGACCCTCTCTGCCACGAGCGCCTCAAGATTTTTAAATGTTACTTACTTCTTTATCCTCCCTAGGCTGGTTTCTGCCCCTGGCGTTACATGATTATAACGTCTGCCACCAACTGTTGTTCCATCCCAGATCTTTTCGGCCACTTTTAACCACGCAGCATAAGCCCTGTCGGCGTAGATCCTCTATCTTGCCTACCGGCTGTTACACGCTAGGCACACAATTGCGGTACATGTTCCTGCTTTGCATTGATTGCTTTTATCGGCTGCCTTTTCTGAATTGCTTACCTCGAACAACAGACAGACTACTCTTCTGCATACCCTCTCCTCTCTTTCTATCCCTTTATATACCGTCTACTTCCCACTTCTCGCGTTCACTCATGCCATCTCTAGCACAACGGTCCCACAGAAGTACCTGTTTGTCGAGACCGCTTTGAGTTCTTAGGCCGAAGCCGCGCGTGTGTGCCAGTAGCAGACGTCACCAAGGCCTTGTGAGTATTTTTGTGGTGCTGTTGTCGACATCAAAATTATGGTGGTATACGACCTCCAGATTTTAATGGTGCACACAGGGTTGCCTTCCATCACTGACGTCGGACAGTAATCAACCGTATTCCAGTGTCAGGCTTGTTTGCTCCTTCAGGGGATCGAGATACGAGGTCAGAACGATGCAATACGTCTATAAAGCAATTCTGTGGACATTGCTAATTTCGCTGTAAATCGGTGGATCGCTGAAAATTCCTGCTATTGACTACCTAGAGCTCTCGTTACCTGGCCAGACTCAGGCCCAAACCACCACTTAGGATGACTTTGCCATGATCTACACTGTGTCATCAAAATGGCACTACCAGGTAGGAAACAGCATGTTGTCCACTTCAAGGAACCTATGCCTCACGGTTTCCGTTCATTTGTTGCCGGCCGCTTTATCGCACTGGAACTAACAGCGGGTGTTTTGTCAGTTGATAACCGCTGGTCCGACCTAAAACAGACTCCTCCAAGTACCTCTGAGGAGACAATTATCCTCCGCCATTTTAATTAAAGCGACCCGACTGACCGACCCAAACATCGGGGTTGGCTTCATAGGACGTCGCATATTTCACAACTCAACCTCGACGCATTCTGGCCCTCGACTCGAATGGCTTCCAGCTGACTGGAAACCAAGAGATTGCCTCATCTTGAATTTTAGCCACCCCTTTACCCCATCCGCCCAATGATTTTAGACTACCAACATGCCGTGGTAGTGTCCGTGTCGGAGGCAATATCGGTAGGGAGTGCACATCACCCCTCTAAATCCCGCAGGTTCGACGTCGTCAGTGGGTATTCAATCTGAGGACTTTCTGGCACGCGAGTATAACTGCGAATACGACTCGGTTTCTATGGCGGGATTGTCGATGCCATAGTAACATCATCGGGCAGTAAAACACCTCTCGAGGGCTGCCTCTCAACATATATCTGCCATCTTTATTCGGAGTACAAGCTGTTTGATTGCATAGTTCTTTGACGCGGATTGGTGAACAAGAGATCGCGCTCACTGCGCTTTTTGCACAGTCATCTTGCTGGAAGACGGCAGCTCTATCTTGGCGTTAACATTGATCTGCCCACCAATCTTTAGGTAGTCCTCCTCAGCTGTTTCTGTTTTTGCTAGTAAAAACGAAACAATGCGGTTTTCGACCGTGCCACTGACACTTCTTGATTCGTCACACCCTCAACGAGCACGACCAGCCCCTAGCCCTCTGCATATGACTAGCAAGATTCCCTGTGGCCTATCAGCCTGCGGAATCACACCATCGTAGCTACCGCTGTTATTTCACGCCTAATATCGCTGAACAAGAAGCAGAGTTCCTGTAGGTTGTTAGGAGACTGGTCATTTATGTCATTACCAACGTCCATCTGGGCTGTATTCTTTCATCAAATCCTCTCTGGTACAAGATAGAGTCCTTCGGAACGTGTCCCCAGACCGTCACAGTACAAGCGCACAGAAGTACAAGTGGTGCAGCTTTCTGTGAGGATCTGCTTGGCGCGTCTTCGATTGACAAGTAGACAAGGCCATTTTGGTTGTCTTTGGCCTCAGCGCGTTGTGAACCGTCACTTTTAAATTATGCCGCCACTCGGAATCATACTTGGTTCTCACGGCAGGCCTGCACATCCCGATCGGTCAAGTTTGCTTTGTTTCTACGGTCGCCACCAGGACGCACTGCCGCGTCTGGCGCCTTGGAGTTCATGTCAGTTGTCCGAATACGATGGCCTTGCTTTGGACGCGGACGAGGGTAGGACAAGCATACCTTGTGCTTAGCCTTGGTTGCCACTTATGGTTTGCTTACACTTAGCATGTCTACTGTCAGGAGTGTATTTTGTTTTGTAGTCAACTGCACATTCAGTTGCGACTCTGCCTGCAGGCCGAAGGGGCCTGTGGTCTGTTATGCGGGCAAAGATACAACATTCTGGTGACAGTTTCTTCTCGCAAGCACAAGATTCACTGTTTTAACGCCCTTAGAAGCTCGGCTTTTAGGGATTGAAATTTACTTACTACATTTTCATTTTGCGTCCTCTGTTCACGCTTTCAGATTTTCGTATTACCCGAGGAACTATACAGAGGCAAGCCTCAACTCTTGCTGCATTAACTGACACTACAAATTCACCATTCAGTGAATAGTTGAACTTTTTGGGGTCATGTTCTTAATCATTGACAACACTTGGGTCGTTAGCCGAACCCAAATATGTGGTTACCTTGCCTATCTCCTATTCCCACTTTTTAATGTGCTACGTCTCAGTGGGTTCAAAGACCATCCTTTTCTTCAATAGCAGTCTTAAACACGGTGTCTTCTCCCCAACCCCTTGGTTGAGCTTGATGCTAGGCAGTCATTACTTTCCACTCCTTTTGACATTTTTAGGGCGGCAGCAGTTGTTGTACACTCTTAGGAAGCGGAAAAGATAGGACGCGCGCGAGACCTGACGTATATGGGCCACGATAATTGCTTCAATACTTTCTTGGCGCCATAGGAGGATTGTTTTTTGTCATTGTCAAGGTTGGAATGGCCGCAAATGTAGGGCGAAATAGTGAACCAATCATCTGGACAGTGTTCATCCACTTACAACGCCCTAGAGTAGCCCCGCAGTTGAAGGCTCTTAGAAACATCGCTAGGCGTTAACGACGGTCACCCACGTCACTACCGGCCGAAATTGTCGCAAGTTTTAATTGTCAAAATATTAGAAAAAACGTTTTTCTCGATTTACAACCCTAAAAAACAGTACAGTGGAGGAAAGCTCTTGGTTGCGTCTCGAGCTGTCGAGGGCGTTAAAAGCAGTGCATTTTTTTTGTTTACAATACAAAGCTGCCAAATAACTTAAAATCAGCAAAACATCACGATTCCACTTCAAAATGACGTTATTTCTAACAGTTTACTAAGTTGATTTTGCCGGTAGATGATCATTGTGATTTGAGGGTTAGGCGCATATATGCTAGCAAGTGCTCTTTTCCTGACCGAGATGCATGGAATATGCATAATTGGGCAGAGTTAGCTATTCTGATGAAGGGGTTATAAGTTCCTGCATCTTTTGCTAGAACTATCAGGGGTTTTCGTTCATGTTAGTATCAATCCTGCATTACCTGTCTTCGTGGATTATACTGAAGGCTTTTATACCTGTGACTTCATCCTCGATCGTCAGTTGCGACTTGAGGTACCATACCTGTCTATCTGTCCCTCAGCTATTGGCACCGTGAAGTAGCTGTTTTTTGATGCCGTGCTACTCTCCCTCTTTTCCGTCAAAACAATAGTAAGGCCTACAAGTTTTCACGTTTCCCCGGGATCTGTGCCGAGTGCTTCCGTTTAATTATCCAGGGTATGCATAGTTTGCTGTTTGTGTGTGCGCTCTAGTTTTCACTGGCTGCCGCTCGCCCCCCGCCGCCACCCAACAGTGCCATTACACTCGGGAATGGTTGGACACACGCCTAGTGACGCCATCTGTCGTCCTAAATGCCAAGGTTCTGTGTCCTGCCTAAATGTACTACCTTCCACTTTTTAGTTCCGATTTTGCAGCAGTCCAGACCCAGATCGCAGCTTTTTTTTATCATCGGGCCGACCTTTGAGAAGTTCACATTATCCATGTGCACAATACTTGTTAGACGCCTTTTGTAATGGTAGACTTCCTCAGTATATACTCGTTATCTGGGGCTTTTTGGGCTATTCACTGGCCACCAATACTAAACAACTACCTGCAAACCGCTTAAAGAGAGCGCGGTTTGTTTCCATGAAGGAGTTCTGGTCCCTCGCATTCCTGTACTTTTGTTTTTTTTCCTGTCAGTTCATTTGTTCGGCCACTGCTATGCCAAATTTCATTCAAAGTAGATCTTAAAGGGAGTAACTGAGACTGCGCAATTTTGTTGGGGACTTGTTAACTGCAGCTTTGCATAATTCTCTAATAAAATTAGGTGAGAAAGGTATAGCTAGTCCAGTGGCTTTATCTCATTTTTCGAAATCTGTGTTCTCTTTGGAAAAGAATAGATTGTTTTTTTGCCAAGAGCATGCTTTGGAGGCAAATTAAAGCTTGAAGTCTGTTTTCATCCCGCCAATAACATAACGAAACAGCAAAAGAGAATACCGCAAAATTATTGTCCTTGATCTAAACCAGTCGTTACAAGTGTCGATTGTGCTCCGTAGAGGTGATGTTTTCACAGAGGTTCTCCGCTCGCTGGAACCTTCCTTCAATTCCACTGCTGTCTATTCCCACCGCACAGCTGGGCTTGTGGTGGCTTCGCTCTTCATTGCTTGACGCCAAAATGTTGTGTTTTCGACAGAAGGAGTTTTTCTGCCTTCTTCTGAATTCGTCTCCGGATTTGGTCGTCAGATCCTGTATTCAAGACCGGACCCGAGAGCAACTCGTCCATTAGGATCTGTGTTAGTGGACTTGGGATGTAGTTTTCAGTTCTGGATTCGAAGAGCAGGGATATAGTGTTAAAAAGACAAGACTTAGTGATTAGCTAACTCCGTAGGGGGGGAGTATGCATGTCGATCCCATGTGTCCGCCGCTGTTGTGGGGGCTGATGTGTGAAATAGTAGTAAAGCAAGCATTGTTGAGGTTTCTAGTGTCATTGTCAAGCCAAACTGATTACACTATTATTACTGATGTGGCAACTCAACGACCGTTCGCTTGACGCAGCCTCTTTCATCCAGAACAAACTAATGGTCAGCATCACATTTAGGGCAAGAGCATAGGGCGGCAACAGTTTAAGGTTGTGGTTCTGTCCACGACTAGGGCTTGGGTAGGATTAGGGGTTTGGGCCGCTATCACAATTCTCGTCATGGCAGTAGCGTTAGGGTTGCCGTGGGAAGTTTTAGTGTCGGAGTCGAATTTAGGTGAGCAGTTTACAACTAAATCTAACTCTACACTACTCACTCGGGCCTTACCATAGACCTATAAATACCGTTAGGCCGTAACTCGAAGCCTGAAATCGGAGGCTATTCCTAACCCGAGCGGAATTGTCAGAATGCTTAAAATACGTTCTCCGGGGTTCGTTAAATGTGCAGAATACCAATTCTCTTGAGTCAACCATAAAAAATTGTCGCGTTTCACAGCGTTACACTAATTGTCGTCCTTTTAACGTCAGGTGATATCGGACTGCTGTCAACATGGCTAATTTTTTTATTTCTTTTGATGCTAGCAAGCGCAAGGGGGCCTTCAACGATCGTCAACTTGCTTACCTTGTCAACTACCATGCTCGAGGCCGCCTTCGACGGGACGCGCGCCGTTGCCGAATCCTTTAGGTTCACAAGACTGCGACAGTTGCCTCCTTAAGGGCCCTTGGCACTACTGTTACTACTACCCACTACTAGCACTGCCCCTACCACCGCCACCACCACCACCACCAAACTCGCGCGCACAATGTCTACCATCACTTTCTCGCACTTTATAGAACACTTACTCCTTCCAGAAGGCTGACATCCCCGACACCCTCCCGCCTGGTGCCCACACACTGAGTTTCCGCGGCGGGTTGCTGTGCAAATTCAATCATCCAGCCTTCTGTCTGTAATATTTATCCAACAGAAGTCTAGTCCAAACTTTCTACCTCCCTTTCAGTTTGTAGACATGTGAACGCTCATTCACGCTCTCTTCTGAACCAGAAGTGTCCTCTCACGCGCACTCAACATATCTTACCGGAAACCATGCCTTTTTCTCACTCGCCCTTTCCATCTTTGCAGGAAGGTCGCGCCTGTGGTTTAGCATCTGTACGTGTTGATGTCCAAAAGATCTAGTAAATGCAAAATAACCATGGCGAACTTGACGTTAATCCTGCCTGTAGTAGCCTATTATTTTACAGAGACTCGTTGGTGCACATTCACATGCATCTGGACACAGCTCTTAAATGCCCTTCCAATGCATAATTTGTCCACGTTGTCAGTATACTTTGTTTTACTTTTTTCTGCTTATTCCTTGGAGATAAGTTCCCATGCCCATGGTTTCCTCCTCTTTACCTCATTTGCTCTTTGTTCACACGCCACCGAAACATAGTGCGGATGTATTGAGTCCGTAGTTTGGGTATACGGTAGGTAACGCAAGTCATGAAAACTTCTCAAATTGACAGAAAACCGGCAATTTGAAGGCGATCCATATGCAGCGGTAAAGGCGTCAAATCAGTAATTGACACCTTTTAAGTAAATTAAAACACGAGATAACTATTGAAAGTGCTACCAGGTCGGTTAGAAATGACGTTCATAAAAAGTATTGAAAGCGCGAAAATCCAGGTCAAATGGGTAAACTTAATTGTGGGGGTACAGAATAGGTGTCTGCGCTAACGACCGCATTATGAAGACAGTAGAAACACCAGCAATGCTTTAAAAGACTGTTTTTTGAAGGGTCGGCGTAATGCAGCGTGCCAGTCAGACACTGCATGATGATTTATCCGTTTTCTCCGGTCGCTTGGGCTTGGGAGACGAGATCTCATTTGTACGTTTCCCAAGGTGATTGTAGAATGGTATTACCGACAAAGACAAGGGAGACTGGAATGGCCATTTCCGGCTTGATAGTCGCCATCAGTCAACCGTACCCAACCCGAGGTATGCAACCCCGAGGCTCGATTTCGCAACCTGTTGGTTAGAAGTCTGGCCCCCTACAATTTCGCCGCGGACTCGTCCTGTCCGGGCAAGAGAGGGCCCCAAGGCACAACGGGACGAGCAAATTCAGTAACGCAGTCAGTGCTCGTCCTTCCACCATTGAAAATGCTTCTCTTGTCAATAGGGGCGTCGTTGAGATAAGAGGTTTGCATGACTGCACGTCAGGAGGCTCTTTCTGGCATCTTTGGGGTCTCTTGTCTGAGGGCCTTCTCGAAATGGGAATTAATATCTTGCGATTTTCGATCTTAACAGTCACGAAAAAGTAGTTTTTTGCATTTTGAGGTTATCAGCATTCGATAATGAGACAGTGCTTGAAAGCTTATACCTACAGTAGGTGGGCTAACTCATGTAATGTCAACCGAAATTCCGAAATGCGTTTTCGTTTCGAAAAGATTAATTAAGTAAAGTTGGAGAACTAATCATCAAGCATCATAATTCTATAATAATTCAGTTACCTAAGGATTCCGGCTTTCGAACGAACTTCTTTCCGGCAGCATGCAAAAGCTATAGTCAGTAAAAATGACTGCTTAAATAGCACGCATTTTTCCATTGATTTTCGATGCCCTTAAAAATTCAATTATATTTCATGGAACATGCATAACAATATTCATTCTTTTACTCATTCGGTAGAAAATCACATCTTCCAATTTTGTACTCGGAAGAAGGGTATAATTCGGATTTCAAAAACTTTTCCGATATCCGAATAACTTTCAACCTGACCTGCCGTTACACTCGCATTCAGGTTTTCTAAACTACAAACCATATATTTTCCCCGTACGGAAAACCATACGTTTCTCTACAGTATTAAGTGGACAGCATGTGGGGTTCTTAAAATTCAGCAGTGGATTTGAGCCACATTGGTAAATGCAGAGACATGACGTTTTATGAACGGCCATTTCACGGTTTTAGAAAATCTCAATTGGGAAGTTTTTGAAAACCGAATTATGCCTTTCCTTCGAGTATAAAATCGGAGGAAGACGTAATTTTCCACCGAATGGGTAAAAGAATGAATATTGTTATGCATGTTTTCCATGAAATATAATTGAATTTTTAAGGGCATCGAAAATCGATGGAAAAATGCGTGCTATTTAAGTAGTCATTTTTACTAAGTATAGTTTTTGCATGCTGCCGGAAAGAAGTTCGTTCGAAAGCCGGCATCCTGGGGTAACTGAATTATTATAGAATTATGATGCTGGCTGATTAGTTCTCCAACTCTAGTTAATTAATCTTTTCGAAACGAAAACGCATTTCGGAATTTCTGTTGAGATTTCATGAGTTAGCCCACCTGTATGTGGGGATCTACTGGTCGTCGACTTTTTCGCAGACGACGGTCTAGGTCAAATTTAGCAGGCCCGCCTAAAAATGCTTTGAAGTTGTCGAAGAATATGGACGCCTACAGCGAAGGCCTGCATCTATTTAGTAAAATGCTCCGATGACGCTTTTTCGCGGCTAAGCGTCTGAGCCTCTCATATTTATTTCAAAATGACGTCCGGGAGGGATTTTGTTCATGCACATCCCTGACGCGCACACACAAGACGGTTTGACCGTCTTTGCCGGCGATGTCCACCGTGTGCTCTATGGCAAAGTGAAGCAGCCACGGTGACTTGCGCGTGTATTTAGTCTATAGTGAGAGTAAACATGGGTTGCATATACCGCACTCTCTCCTATTCTTCACTTGGATCCAGTGTCAAAACTGGGTTAAGAAGACCGGAAGCGGGGGAGGGTGCGGGTGGATAGTGGGTCGAGCTCGCACCTTGGCTTTCCACTCCACACCCGCTGGCCCACTCAATAGATGACCAGGATTTTAACCAATAACATTATCGTCATCGACGACAACAACAGCAAAGACAGCTGCAGAGACAAAGGTAACTGGACATCTTTGCCCATGACCTGTATACCCAGCGGGAGCGCAGGCGTATCCACCGACAAGGAACTAGGTGTCAGAGCTGCCAGCGCATACCAGACCGCCATCGTCATGGTTTGCTGATCCTGGAATAGCAGACGCTTTCAGTCCTTTAGACATAGAAGGCTGGCACCTGGCCCTACACGCGCCTGGGCCGTCACTCTTCAAGGCTGGGTAACCAAACAGTCTTCAACTGAGAGGCACTACGCATTGAGCACACTCCCATACACTCCTTACTTCACTGAGTATCACAGAACACTAAGGAAGGAGCCGCGACAACTCGCTCTCCATCCATCAGTCCGCTACTCCACACAACAGGTAAATGGACAGACTGCGGAGACTAATTTGGGACGTTAGTCGGCCATGGCGCTCGGCGCACCGTGATAGTCTTCGACTCAGATCACGAATGCAGCAGACGGAGCACAGACGCACACTTTCCACTTGCGAGGGGGGTGGCAGTTGTTCGCTTGTGAAGAGAGTTGGTGTTGTGCGGTGTGGGTGTTGGTGGGGGAAGATATGGTGGTGTGTTATAGCCGGTGGTTGACACCGGGTCCAGGCGTGAATAAGCACACGACCGAATAGGCTCATGCGGTGAGTGAATGTGGGGGGGACAGCGTGGACAGTGGAGGCGGGTGCTGCGAGGGTAGGTGGGTGCTCCAGGCAATGGTTCGCCAGTCTCTTTGCGATGGATTCTCAAGCGACCGACCAGGCCGCACACACTCATACAGCCGAAAATAAGGAAATTTATTTCAGGGCCATTCTACTTATCTTCGCGCTCTTCCGTGGGTTGAGATCATGTTTCTTCAGCAAATCCAGTTTTCTGCTGTGTAGTAGCAGGGGTTAGAACTGATTGTTTGCAGGTAGACACTTCATCCAATCGCGGCGACCTAAGTCTGAAACTCGGGCTGGCGGGTTGAGCAGGCGGAAAGGATTGGCTGCCGCCGACGGTATTCCTCGGCATAGTATCGACGTGGTTACGGCAGTTGTAGGCGTGGATGTAACTCCTAATACCAGTACTCGCACTGAAAACGTGTAGCAGCAGTGCTTCATGGGAAAAAGTTGGACTTTGGCAGCGTCGGTCTTCGGTATTCCCGTGTTGATGTTAAAAATCTCGGTTAATTGTTGTGGACCAGGGAGTGTGGTTGTACGTCTCGGTGCGGGTCTGGTTGTGCCAGTCACCTGCGCTCTTTCTCACCTCTGGTCTTCCTGGCTATATCTTGACACCGGTTCCAGGCGGGGAGAAGGAGAGCGTGCGGTAGATGCTGCGCAGGTGTGCTCTCACTACAAACTAATTCACGCGCAAGTCACCGTGCTTGCTTCACCTTGGTGTGGAGCACACGGTGGACATCGTCAGCAGCGACGGTCGAACTGTCATATTCAGTTGTCCTCATGGTACGCGCTCCCACTTCTACTTGATTTTAGCATGTCTGGTCATCTGGCACAAGTTTTTTAAAAAGACCTGGGTGACCCCGAGACGGTAGAGCGTACCTTTTAACGTGTTTGTGGATTGTTGTCCTTTATACCGACCGTCAGTGAGCGATCTCATAAAATATCGACCAAAATTATGAAATGCGTATTTTATTACGAAGGATTACTTAAATTGGTCTGTAATATGGATTATTTTGCGAAATGCCATAGTATTCCGAGCACGCCGGGATTTTAGATGTTAAATGCACTTTTTTTCGGCCGCTTGTGATGACTGTGTTCGGTAAAAATGGCTAGTTATGTTGTAGGCGTTTTTGTTGATTTT